CTACCCGTGGTAGGAAGAACGAGACAACCCAGGTGGACATCAAAATAGTTTTATACAGGTTACTGGATCTCAGTATACAGGTAAAAAAGAGGGCCCGGCTGCGGGGAGAGCCAGGCCTCGCCTCACGCCGCCTTGTCCCGCTTCCAGGAGAAGGCGATTCAAGTCCCTTTTAAAAATGTACATTTGAAGGCACAGTGCACGGACCGACACACTCCAGGGACAAGCACCTGCAGAGGACCAGCTCCTCGCCAGAACCATCACGGGCGTGCCTGCGGATGGACGGACAGACAGACGGACTGACAGCGACGGGAGGCCCCTCCTGCCTTCCTCACACCAGCACCAAGCAGCCCCAGCCTGCTGCAGCTCCGAGCGCAGAGCCAGGCCCCCCACCTGGTCCTGCTGCGGCCAAAAGTCTCACACTTTGCAAAACATCACGAATCCACTCAGCTTAGAAATCCACCTCTATGCCAAGCTACCTGCAAAACGCGCTCTCGGAGGGAAAGGGCCAGTTCCTAACAAGACTTATTGCTAGTGGGACAAAGCAAGGCCAGCTCAGTCCGTTACCTGCTGCCAGAGCACACAAAGCCCAAACAGAGCCCCAAGAGCCATTTGCAAACTCAACTTTAATGCAAAACTCCAGCTGCACCTCTTGTTAAACCCCACAGAAGGAGGAAAATGGTTAATGCTATTCTGTGCTGCAGCCCATTACACATGGAGAAGGGTCATGGCCCAGGACCAGACCCCATCCCCTGCTCAGCATGAGGAGCTGGGCACAGGCACAGGGATGTTCATGGATCCCGCAGAATGGAGGGAAGAAGAGCAGCTCTGTCACACCCCAGCGATGCGGGACAGGAGCCCGGGGAATGCTCAGCCTCACCTCCCTGTTCCCAGCACACCTCCCCAGCCAGATCTTATCACGTACTTCTTGTGACAGAACTCCCCCTTGGAAGAGGGAAGAAGGTGTACTTGTGCCTAAGGGTTATCCTTGTGCCTCCAGAGAGCTGCACAAAATCAGCACGCAGCTGCCGAGAGGACCAGCATGGCAGCACGGCCACAGGCACGTGGCTCTGGAAAAGCAGCTACCGCAGGCCGAGGCGAGGAGCAGCTCCTTCCCCAGGTGCTATGGGCCAACAGCCTTCAACAGGGAACCTGCTGTGCCATTCCCCCAGAGAAGACCAGGTTGGAGCCCTGCAGAACAGACCCCAAAGCACATTTGGGTGCAGACAAACCCATCCCCACAGATGACACATGCAGGTTGCACTAGTTTTTCACTAGACCTCCCCAGGCTGCTGGAGAACAGATTAGCTCAGGGCAAACTAGATGCCTAAGATGGTGCTGCACCAGGCTCCTGCACCCCAGAGCTCAGGTCTATGTGGCAAGAATTAAAAAAAAAAAAAACAACCCACAAACAAAAGAGGGCAGCAAGAAAATAAGTGCCTATTCTAACCCCAGCCTTCTGCCCAGAGAGCACAGGAACATCAGAGATGCAATAAAAGATTTAGAAATCAAATGTTTCAGCCATTCTTCCCTTCTGGGCATCCCCTCCATTCCCCACAAATCTAACGTGCCTTGTGGACGCACGCTGCGGCTCCTCTCCCCACCTTCCTGCCAAGTGCTACAAACCAGAATTTGGTTGCTTTTCCCTTCTCTTTCAGCACAGCCGTCCAGCCCTTCCTCCCGCGCTGCACCCGGGCCCCCGCAGCAGCGGACACAACTGCAGACATACAAGCAGGTGGAGCCCTTGCTACGTACTTCAGGGATGCTGTAGTAGCAGACGAGAACCAAGCCAGCAGGCTAATCTGATGCCTACCATCAGCAGAGCTTGATGAGAGGGTGTTTCCAAAGTGCTCTGATCAGTAAATAGTATTAGGTGGACAATGGCAAACGATGCAGTTTATCTTCAAAACTTAAGACTCAAGTTGGGCCATGGATACTCCCATGACCTCTCCCTGCTGCTCCAGTAATGCTCAAATACAAAGCAGTGGCCAGATTTCACTGTTTACTCCTGAACAGTGACGGACTTGAGCAAAACCGATCAGGTGGAGGCAGTAAGTGATTGCTTTTCTACAGTATCCACCACAATCAGTCTGTCCATTTGCCGAGAACAAACTCCAGTTGCTTTTCCAGACACTGCGCTGTTACGACGCTAACATGAGACCCCAAAGGCCAAGTCTGCTCCACAAACAAGCCACAACCAGGGGTGATGAGGATAAAGTTTCTTTCTTCCCCAGAAGTCAGAACAGCAGCACTGCAGAGCTGGCAAGTAATGAACTTTGTCAGAATTCACCACAGCTCTGACATACGCTCCTTTCTCCAGCTCACACCAAGAATGGATGTCATCTCCCGCAGCTTTCAGGACACCAAGTCACTGTCTGGAACTAACAACACACTGAGGCGCTCCACAGCCACTGCAGATCACAGCAGGCCACAGCATCTCATGGCGGGGAAAAGCTCCAAGGGAGCAGCTGAGAACCAAGTACAGTCTTTTTCCGAGGACTCCACGTTCTGCAGAGCAGCCAAGTGAAGGATCTGGCTTCCCCCAAGTACAGAGTGGAAATCAAAACAGGTAGAGAAACTGCTTTGGAGTGTTGTAACTATGACCCCATGCAGGTTTTGGGGCACTTTCCCACCATCTGCTCACTGTGTTGAGATGCTGGGGAAGTGCTAGGAACTCTGCTGGCCACCCTCGTAAGTTGCCTTTCAAACAACATCATGTGAACCTCCAGATCTTGACCCAAAAATGTAACAAGCCATGTCCTTAGCCTGAACAGAGCCTCCCAAGACCCACTGATTTGCACGCACATAGGAACAGAGCAAACAGCAGGGGGAAGTTGGGAGATGCCACCCGCACCTCTGGAGGACACATCCTGCAAGCTAATGTTTCACAACTGAACCCTGGGGACCATACCCCCCCCCACCGGCTCTGGTCCATGGGAACCCCTTTCCTGCCCCGGAGGTGTCAGTGCTTGCTGGAGTACAATGTTTCTTCTTCAGTGTCTGTTTCATCCTGGAATTCATGGCTCAGGAGGGACTTCTTTGAGCCAGTGGACATCATGCGGATTTCGTCCTCGTAATCGTCGTGGTGCTGCCGGAGGCGGTGGAAGCCATCCTTGTGTCTGTTGGACTTTATTGAGCAGACACACCAGATGATACAGGCGGTGAGGACCAGAGCAGACATACTTGCACCTGCAGAGAGAAGACATTCAAGTTAACACCATGTTCCCCCAGCCCAGAGGCTCCTAGGCTTGCCACCATCTCTCTTCCCTTCTACAGTCACAATCACTTTCCTCACTTCCCTGTGACCCTCCTCCTCCCTCCTTCGGCCACAGGAAACATGCCATGAGAGAGAGCTGCCCCAGAGCAGCACTGCACTAGCTTTATTTTATGTGCTTGCAATCCAGGATAGCATCACTGAGCTCCTCTGCAGACCACTGGGTATAAACTCCAAGCCTCCCAGCAGCTGCCACCTCAATAATAATAAAAATCTCTTAACGCTTACCTGGTGCCACAGCACTCAAAAGAAACCTTGGGGTAGAAGCTAGATTTCCTAGGTCCCAGCTCTACGCACGAACAGGCTCTCCCCATTCCAGGCAGCCCAAAATCCGTTCTGAACCCTTCAGACCCCTGCAATGCTCTTTACTTCCTCCCTCTCTCCCACCTGCCAGCCCAGCATCACCAGACCCAAGGGTTGTTGGACCAGTTCGCAAGGACAAGCACGTGTTCAGGAGGGAAAGCAGGGGACGGTTTAAGTCTGCAGGCTACTTTTCCAGTTCAGTGAAGGGTCCCTGTCAGCATGAACCAGTACAGAAAGCAAAGCTCAAAGCTTTGATCAAGAGTGTCACTTTACCTGCAACAGTCACAACCAGCTCCCTCGGCAGACCAAATATCCTGTTTTCCGTGTCAAAAACAATGAGCACAGAGCTGGGCGCATCATGACGTACAAAGACCTGCAGAAAAAGACACGAGAGCTCAGACTCAAAGCTTGCACCTCTCCTACGTGTCCAGACAAGAGAGGCACTTGCTGACCAGGGCAGGACCAGGTAGATGCCAAAGACAAGTGCAACGGAAAGAGAAGCTACTGCCCAAAACCACCCTGCTGTCATGGAAATTCTTCTCCATCCATTCTATCAAGGCAGAAATCAGCTACCCTGGGCACATAATCAGCAGCTAAACACAGCCAACAAGGCTGAGCTCAAACAGGGGGGACAGTACATGGAGCGGGGGGACAATCTCCAGTACAGACATCCACATACCTTGACATGTTTCTGCTGGTACCCGTCGGCTATCGCATTGATGTTATGCAAACCTGGAGCCAACAGCACATGGAAATAACCACCTTCCTTAGTACAGACCCTCAAACCTTCATTAAGAACGATGGTAGCTTTAGAAATTGCCTTGCCACTCTTGTCTTGGACAAACCCATGGACTCCCTTATGAACCTGAAATAAAGCATTTCAAACACTTCATGTTCACATCCAAGGATATGGCACGTTTGTGACTAAAAGATGATCTAATCCTCCCCTCAAAATACAGCCCACTCTCCATCCCCGACTCTCATAATAAATAAAAAGTGTACAATACTGCAAGGACTGCTCAGCCCACCACAAGGCAAACCAGCACAGATGTTTAACTCTCATGTCAACACATTTCCTGGTCACTTGCTCCCTCTGTTCACTCCATTCCTCACGCAGACTAAATTTTGACTGTCTGTAATTGCACAGCACCAATAAAAACACAAAGACTCTCCACACTGCTCTCTTCCTCTCCCCACTCGGCCCTTGTTGCCAGAATTTCCTTCCACAGACTGCGGCTCACCTCCACGAGCATGCTAAGGAGAGATTTCCTGTGGTCTGCCCACAGGCCAGGAAGCTGCCCTGCGCTCGGGAAGTAACAGCAGCTGGTATAAACAGTGATCTCAGGACAACGACCAAACGTAACGCTGAAATCCTGCAAAAACCAAAACCACAGTTACAACAAGAGAGGTGGTATTTGTAAAGCTTTGCAAAGTGCAGCTGGAGGTGGGGCAGTTTTGCCCAGATATCAGAACAAACATGCTTTTTAATGCTGGTTTAGCAGAGGTGGAAAGCCTTGTGCCGTGAAGAAGTACCTTCATGCTTCCCAAGTGACTGTGCCATTCAGAGCCACGGATCACACCGCCAGGAATATTCTCATCTGCAGGAGCAAGAACACAGCCGTCAGACAGACCTGCTCCTAGCAGCGTCTAGCAGTAGCTGACAGGGGGTTCAAGGCTTCAACCAAACGTACCTGACTTATTTGGACAGCCTGGCTGGCCCAAATGCATCAGTGGATGATTGTTTGCATACAGAGATGCCAAATGCTTCAGTGTTTCTTTGTTCTCGACTACAAAGAGAAAAGTGAGACTTTCAGAGCGCAACTCCTTATTCACTGGGGGAGCAGATTCCCATTCTACCTCCATGACCCTGTACTAAACAGCAACACACATTGTTTCAGAGGCATTCCAGGTTTCCTCTGACACTGAGGGGTGGTATCAAATCTGAGTTTATACTGGCTTTGGCAATGGAAAGGTTGAAATACTGTTGCAGGAACAGAAATGGTAAGTGTTCTGATCTCTAGCTGAATCCTGTGAGGTTTGATAGCTTTACTTTAGACTGTCAACTCCACATACAAAGGGCTGAACACAAAAGGCGGCTACAGAACACCACCAGCACAAAAAGCTCTTACACCATGCGGTCACATGAACTTCTGCAGAGACAGCCTGAGGGTCACTGTGCGTGCAGGGTCCCAGAGGAGTTAGTTATACCTGTCTGCGCCGGCTTATCATACGGGTAAGTGACAAGCAGAGATCCTCCATCGAGCGCAACAGAGAGGCTGAAATCCTGCTTCAATATCAAGCTCTCTATGATGGCTTTGGTCTCAGGCTCTCGCGTCCCCGAGTACCGGGAGTAATTGCCTGTAAAGCAGAACAACAAATAGAAGAGGGAACTGACAACAGTTTCCTCCGCTGTTTGACAGGCCAGCAGAAGAACATTGTTTATGACTGAAATTAAGCCCGCTGCATATATTAAAAGGTATTTGTTAGATTTCAGCAGATGCACCTGACATCAAGTAGAGCACCTAATCCACACTCCCCATGGGGGAAATTCATCTGGGAAGCTAAACAAACATGACACATCGCTGTTTCCCCAAGCTGTTTACTCTTGTGATGCAGACGGTTTTTCGTATGTGTTTGCTCTCCTCAATGTCACTGAACTGACATTTTCTTAAGAAAGTATTTGGGATGATCCCAGACAAACCTGGCCAGAGACCACACTTTGTCCCCAGGAAGGGTGGGCACAGCACCGATACAGTGCTATGGATACAGCAGGCAGTTCCGTGGAAACCAGCAAAGTATGAAAAAAGGAGACTGTTTCCAGGGAGCACGAACAGAGGGCACTGGGTTGAAAGAAATCAATTAACAGGAAAAATACATTCGGTGTTGTCTGACCTCTGAACTATTCCTGAAGAACTCTGCTTCATCTTTTCCTTGCAAATAAGGGACTGCAAATTACCATCTGTGAGGGGGATCCAAGCTTTGAAGCTTCCCAGCAGCTGTTGCTGCCTGGGCTCCACGGCTGCTGTCTTTACAGGCAGACCCTGTAACCAGATGACTACTCCCAACCCTAGAGCAGTGAGCAGGCTTCGACAGCAGCCTGCATTTCTACAGGGACACTACACATCACTTTGCTTAGTTTCCTTTACTTGTGAAGTCTGTGTCCAGGTCTCTGCCGTGAGCGTTAGTCTGGCCTATCTTCGATGTGCAGCCCCTCTCCTGCGCGATCTCACGTCCGTCTGGATTCAGGGAAGGCACAATCACAATCCGTGTTCGGTCAATCAGCTGCACAAAAGAAAGAGAAACAGTACATAAAGTGCATTCAGTAGGGTTCATTCTCTGTATCTTTCATTTGCCTGGGTCGCATCCTAGGAACTGCTGCTTATATTGCTATCAGCAGTCAGAGGTTCCCACTGGCCCCGTGGATTTCACACCACCTCCCCATTACGCGTGGGATCGCTGCAACCCACAAGCTCCTGTTAACAAGACAAGTCTCTCCCAGTGAGCACCGTCTTCTCAGGATGTAACTGGAGGGCTCCAAGATGGTCCCTCGCATTGGCTTCTCACCTTTGTAACAGCAGCGTTCTTCTTGTAGTTCATGCAGAGGAATTCTGCCAGTGCCAGGAGCAGCTCTGTACCAACGGGAGCGTTTCCATGAATACCAGCAACAAAGCGGATCTTCGGCTCCTCAGGCTCAGACTGGTTGGGCTTGTTGGAGATTTCAAGCGACCAGATCTGACGGAACTCGACGCTCTGACCCAAACTGCCAAGAGATGAGAAGCCAGAGCGTCAGCTGAGAAACAGAGCCGCACCCCTAGCCCGGCCTTACGGAGAAATCCCGGTGTGGAAAGGAACTGCTGCCAGCCTCCATGAGGAGGCTGCAAAGACAAGCAGCACACGAAACACAAGCGCATCATGAGAGAAGATTTGCAGCAGCGCTGAGCCAAATTCACAACAAGCATCAGTTTGAACACAAGCATCTGTGTAAGAACGCATGGAGGTCCAGCTGTACAAGACACCCAATAATCCATACATCTCTATATGCCTATAACGTCACTCTACATGTCATACACTGCGCTCCCAGTGTTGGTTTGGTTTTGATTTTTGTTTCTTTGGAGCGCAACACATCTGGACATCAAACTAACTTACAAAGCACCCAGATTAGAGGACAAAAGCAGGCCTATTTCCAGTAATGCAGAAATTGTTGCTACAGTCATGCCATTAAGTTAGCAAACTGAATGCAAGCAAAGCAGGGAACACAATCAGGGCTGATGCAACTGGCCGGACAATAGAGG